ATGCAGAAGCTCCGATTTCATGGGTTGTGATGGGTAAAACAGATTTGTGTGAATTGTGTCGGTTTGCACGTTCTTGATGTTGTGATGGCTTCTTATTCTGTGTGAGGTAAATTGTTGAGAGTTATCTCCACCGCCGCCGCCAACGCTTCCACCACCATCTACGGAGATTAGATTTACATCATCGTAGACATTGAATATGGACTCTTCGTCGTCTTCATAGAAATCGAAGATTGGAGTTCCATAGATCTCATTGTAGAGTTCCATGAATAAAAGATGGAAAGTGAGTGTTTTTGATACCACAAAGTGGTCCATATCAAAAACAGAAGATGGAGGATAGGTGTGGTTTTGATACCACAGATTGTGGTCCGAATCAAAACTGAAACTGTTCTGATACCAATTGATGGAGGTCCCAACAATGGCAACAAGAACATAAAGCACACAAGAACTTTCTAACAATTTTCTCTTCATCTTTCATTGATCCATCGTGAGATACTTAACTAGGAGATACAACTTGTAAGTTAAAACTTATAATTCAGGAAGTGGGAAAGTGGGAAATATGCAACGTAAAATATTATTAAACAATAATTACATAAATATTTGTTCTCCATTCATGGTGGTCCCAACAATGGCAACAAGAACATAAAACACACAAGAACTTTCTAACAATTTTCTCTTCATCTTCTCGTTGATCCATCGTGAGATATTTAAATAGGAGATACAATTTGGAAGTTAAAACCTATAATTTAGGAAGTGGGAAAGTGGGAAATATGCAACGTAAAAGATTATTAAACAATAATTAAATAAATATTTGTTCTCCATCAATGTCTCCGAAGCCTTAAGGCACTATGTAATTTTTTTTTGTTAAGAATGTAAATACCATTATGAAAATAAAGGAATGAAAGTTTGAGGTATTACAAAGAAGTTTTACCTATTAAATATTTTTTGAAACCCTGATAAAAAAAGTTAAAAACAAGGTTACATTAGATTGAGAATGAAAAAGAGTGGTCCTATACGATCTATAGGAGCATTAGATCTCTCCAGCGTTTTTTGTGTCTTCTAGAGTTGATGATATATATGATCTCTCTGTTGACGATTCTGAAAATAGTAGAAGTTGTGCAGGACGATGTTTATAAAAGAAGTGGTGCATTTATAAAAGAAGTTTATTTGGAAACACTTTTCATGAGGTTTTGAAGATAAAACGATTAATCATGTTATACGTTTGGTGTCCTTGGACCTTTTTTTAAATTGGTTTTTTTGTTTTCAACGCTATCGA